CACGATAATCAGTATCACAACCTGAGTCGATACCGATTAGCGAAAAAGTATCTATCTTTCGCCTATGTCGAAACGTTGCTTGATCCATGGCGTCTACTGTATATTTATACGTATTTATTTATACAGTTATTTGTGGAAGTATTTACTATTATTCCTATTGGTAATTTTTTTTTAATTTTAACTGCATATTTTCTTTTATATGTATATTTGTTTGTATAGTTACTTTCTATCGTACCTGTCAAGCCCGAGGCCTCCATGATGCTGCCCGCCGCTCTGGCCGTCGCGAGGAGATCGTTTGGACCACCGGCGAGGTAAATGCGCCGAGACAGGGCAAGCGGACGTGGACTGGCTTCGCGCGACTTAGCATCGGCGTTAGAGCTTGCAAAGGTAGGATCAAACTTTCGCTCTATATTCGTCGCCTGGATAAGAGCGTTGCGGCTTCCGTCGACGTACATCTCCGCACTTTCTCCCTGTATTATAATGTCAAGCTGGTGTCTGTTACCGTCGTTGACCTAGAAAATGTAGGATGCATTTGGTCAATTGAGTCAACAACTTGTAAAGCATGTTAGGAGAATTTAATTTTCATCTAAGTTTCTACATCATTTCAACCTTATAAACTCTTTTAGACTGGGAGTTTGTCAGAAGTGAGGACAGAAAGGTTCCAAGACAATCTACTGATCTCACCTTTGCGGTAGAATAGCCCACTGCTGTGGATCTCGCACCGAGAGCATAACTCAGTTTCACGTGACCCTGATAAATTTCGGCCGCAAAATATCGATTGTTCATTTCACTCGGCGATCTCTGCTTTCCGTGAATACCTGTCCCTAGCATGGCCTCGTCAGTGCCTTCGGTAAAGTAGAGAATGACTCCCTGCCGTTCGAGGGTTGAAAAGACCAGACTGAGGTTTCCTCGTGGAATGAGAGCTCCCCGGCTTATTGGCTCTACGGCCAAATAGGATTTCAGATTTGGCAAAGTGATGGATAAAAGTTTTTCACAAAATGCACCTGCGTAGCCTACAGAAGAAAGATATGAAAAAGGAAATGGTAAGATAAAACTAATTGCAATGTGGTTGTATTGACACTGAAAATGGCAGAGGCAGAATTGAGTGTCCACAGTGACAATTTCAAGGACTGATTTACCTACCCTCTTTTTGTGTATTACCGCACAGTGCTGCCAGATTTTTCTGGGCCTCTCTTCGAGTATTCAACCGCTTAGCTCATTTAAATGTGTTTTGCAAATATAATAACTTTTTAAACCGGAAAATGACAGAGATAGCCAGCTAAGCTGCACTAGTGAATGTTAACCAGTAAGAGCAAGTTACTACAGGATATGAACCAAAGTGAACGTCTGAATTCTAGGAGATGAACTCTGAGTCGTATATCTGCAGTGACTCGCAGTATATAGTTAAAATGATTTGGATTTATAGTATGGATTAATTTTTAAAACATCCTAATAAGTTCCTCAGGCTAAATAAAGGTAAATAAGGGACGAAATATTGTAGACGTGAAAGTCCTGCACCTCGCTCCCTGCAACATCAGTAACTTAGTTGCACCAGGATGAACATTTGCCATTTTCATAACTCAATGAATAAGTTTGAGAATGTACTTTGCAGTAACACTCATAAAAATGCGTTAATTGGAAGCTGAACCGTAAACCAAACATAGCTCTGAATACATCCAAGTCTGTCTAGACAAGTCCGGTAATCTTTTATCCTTTCTTACTTGTCTAAAATAAAATTTGAATCATATTCGGTTTTTGAAACACATTTATTTTGCGGGAAATCGCAATGTAGGGCATTATTTGAATTCAATTTACAGAAAGCCATTTACTGAGGGACAAAATTTACCTGGCAGACACAGACAATGGTAGCCGATCGCGGACTGATCGGCCTGACAGCTGGCCCCATTTTTGCACCGATTGTGTTTACAGCCATACTTTGGTGGTATTTTCAACTGAGGATGTAAGGTAAGAGCGCTGGGAATGCCTATAGCCTGCGAAGGATCAGGCCGTATATCCGAGTAAACTTCCACGGCCTGATGACAAAATTTGCCTGAAAACAATTAAAATGCTTATTTGACCATCATTGGAGACTAGGTAAAAGACATATGAATGAGAAGATATGTATTCACAAGAGCACTTCTTAGTGAATATGGGGAAGAAGAAGAAGAAGAAGAAGAACAAGAACAAGAAGAATATAGCGTCCAATAAACGAATGTGCAGTCCAGAGACTTAAGGCCTACTTCTGTACATGCTGATGAGCCAACCCCTTCACGGCTGTGCTATGCAGCATCAGAATACAGCCAGAACACATCTCTGGGCTTCTACCCAGCACCTGTGTTGTTGGCCTGGTGTATCCTGTAGCTTTAATATACATATGACAGTTCGACCATCGATTCAAACGCTGTCCCCCGTGTTATCCACAGCGTGGTGGCGCAAGGACGATGGTTAACCCATTACCTCCCATAATTTTAACAACTTTGATTTTTGTTATGAAACTTGGATACCTATGGTAAAAAAGCGTGAGAAACACGATGAAATCTCATGTGGATATCAGAGAACTATACCTAATAGATATAGCATGAGGGTTAAATATGCGTATACACAGACAGATAATTACGAAAGCTCTTAATTTTCAAGTGATCTCATATGAGATTACCGGGAGGTAATGGGTTAATGCGTGGATTTGTTTTAAGTTATAGTAGACATTCGCACTTCCTGGTCCTTCACCAGCCTCTACCCAATGTCAAAGCAATGTCAAGAAAACCGAAGGCAGGCGAAAATGCGAGTCCCAGGAAGTAATTGAGAAGAAGATGACTTGATCGCTGGGATAACACTTTTATTCGCCCGACGTTTCGACATCCGTCATGGGTTCGTCATCAGAGACATAGTCAAAAAAGCTGTAGCAGAAACGGTAATACATGAACAGGGGTTTGCAGTATTTATAGGACACAGTCATTGCTGTAAACAAACAGAGAAAATTAACGTTAATTGCCTTCTTGTGCGTGGATAGCTTGTTGGAGGGCATGCGGG